GAAGTGCCCCCCGGCGGCCGCCCAAGAGGCAGCGTCCCACAGGATCCCGCCTTTCCTCCGGCTCCTAGCCCGGCCCGCTGCCCGCGGGGCCGGTACCGCTCCGACTGGCTCTCTCTGCTCCTAGGCGGAGACTCAGGCTTAACCCCACCGCTCCCACCGCGGGAGAAGCAAGCGCCTGCAGTTCCATGTAGCGTCTACCGGAGTCGAGCCCAGCCCGCAGCCCCGACGCAGAATCGGAATCGCGCAGACCCGCGCGATGTCCACCGGAAGGCGAGGGCAGGGCGTCTAGAAGAGCTGAGCGCTCGTCGGGTGGATGGTCAGGGTGGAGAGAGTAGAGACAAGATCCCCCACTCGCCCATGTCCGCATTGGCTTGGCGTGGGCTCCTGGCCACTTCAGCTTGGGAACTCGGTCGCTGAGCTCCAGAGTGAAAGACTGAAAGTGGGGGTCCTGTAAAAAGGGGCTTCTTTGTCAGGGCGTGTGTGGAAACACGTGGTTGGTGCTGGCTGTCTTCGGGAGAGGCCCAAAGATTAGGTGGGAGAACTGGAGGGAGGTGAGAGTAGGGGGTGTTCCTGCTGTTTCTACGTTTTGAAAAGCTTCTCTGGCTCCCCTCCTCCTACGTTCCCCTTCTGTTTCCCCTCTTCCAGCTAAATCCAGGCCTGAGCTCGCAGTGCCATTTGTAGTGCCAGGGCCCAAGCCAGTACAGGTCCTCGGCTCTGCCCTCAGTCTAGGGCTCTTAATCTGAATCTAGGCTACATTTAATTGATCTGCCCTCCTAAGCTATCAGGTTTGTGCTAGGAGCACTGGAATGGGAGTCTAGAGCCACTGATTCAACCTTTGCCTTTGCTCTATGTCCACATGTAAGGCACATGTTTATTCCTTAGGTGTCCTTTTCATTATCGGCAAGATTTCTAGAATTCCTGCTCTGCATTCTTGAAGTCCTTTAGGGGTGTTATGGGAGTGAGTGGAACCCCAGAACTCACCCTAAGACTTTCCTTCCTGGGGTCCTACCTGGGTGTCTATGGGCTGCAAGGGGCCCTGCTGCATTCATACAACGCTATCCAGAGTCCCATGCACTACCCCATGGGGTTTGCTTCTGAGTCAGCAACAAGGACCCTGGGAAACCTGGGGAAGGATTTACCCCAGGAGATGAGGTTCAGAGTCCACTTTGCTGACCTCCAACAAAGGGCAACCTGCTCTCTCCAAGACTTCTTCAGCCACAT